GGAGGGAGGGACGGACGCACGGACGGACTGACGGACGGGCGGACGATGGACAGAGGGACGGACGGACGGAGGATGAGCGGGGGAGGAGGGGGAGGGGCAGGCCAGAGGCAGGAGAACGGAGGGGGAGGAGTAGGAGGACACCGGCGGCTGGAACACGGAGGAGGGGGGGGAGCGAGGAAGAGGAGGGGGACGAGGAGGAGGAGGAACAGTGTAAACCCAAGGGTCATCAACGATGTTGGAGTTAACCCTCCCTCCAAGCTCCCTCATCACAGGCCCCTACAACGGCTCATTTCCATTGAGGGAACTGCCTCGTTGGAAGACACCCGTTTGAAGACCCTGAAGCATGCCAACACATTGTTCTCGGGACGCCACGGATCAACCTGACTGTTGCGTCTTGAAAATCCTGAACCGTGCCAGAACGCCATTACTAGGACTTCAACACAGAAAACCGACGTAACTGTTGGCCCGCGTGAAACCTACTCATTCCAAAACACAATTTCTGGCACGTTGCTGATGGGAGTCCGTGAAACTCTTGCAAATTGTTAAAGCGAATGCGCGCCGCGCCAAAGCGAGAACCACATTTCGAAAACCACCCGCCCTCAATCCGTGAAACTCTTGCGAATTTTGAAAACGAATGTGCGCGGCGCTGAGGCGAGAGCCACACATTCAAAAAGAACCCCCTTGAATCCGTGAAACCCTGCAATGTTTGAAATCGAATGTACACCACGCTAAAACGAGAACCACATTTTGAAAAGGAGCCGCCCTCAATCCGTGAAACTCTTGCAAATGTTGAAAACGAATATGCAGGGCACCAAGGCGAGAGCCACATTTCGAAAACCACCAGCCCTCAATATGTGAAACTTTTGCAAATTTTGAAAACGAATGTGCGCGGCGCTATGGCGAGAGCCACATTGTGAAAACGACCCACCCCCCATCTGTGAAGCTCTTGCAAATGCGTACAACGAACGTGCGCGGCGCTAAGGCGACAGCCACATGTTGACAACGACCGCCCCTCGATCTGTGAAACTGTTGCCACTTTCTAAGCTCCAGAATCATAAATGGTGAAGAAGTCCCAGGCGAAACGCCCGGCCCGCCCGAAAAACTGGCCTCGGGGTGCGACAGGGAGAAGCTATTTATATGGAAAAGGAATGGAGGAGGACGACGACGGCGCAGGACTAGAGGGAGGTGGTAGCGGACGGGGGCATTGCGGCTAGCGCGTGCTCGTGGATTGACAGGCGTGGGTGCCTACAGAGGACTCGCAAGGAAGAGCAGTTGCCCGAGGCTGGACTTCTTCAGCGGTCCCGGCCCGCGCGGAGGCCGAGTTGGAGGAAGCCACCACGCATCGCCAGCGACGGGGCATGGGCGGCGCCCCTTCGGGGGATGTGCCTCGGCTTCTGCCCGCGGGAGCCCCTCCAGGCATGGCCCTGCGAGGATTTTTTGTCCGCGCAATTGTTTGGGGAGGAGAAGGAGGAAAGCTGAGGGGACGATGAGCGGACATGAACTGCCAACTCGCGTGCACTCCAAGCGGGTTCCCGGGCAAACCACGGGAGCACCGAGGCATGGCCCTGTGAGGATGGTCGGACCGCGGCCCGCCGACGCCGCATCCCGCCGACCCCCCGACATCCTCCCTGGCGTCCTCCCTCGCCCTGCTCCCCCCCGTACCCCCTGCGGCGCGCGGCCGGCTCCTGCCTCGCCATCGCTCCTCCCCTCCCTCCCTTCGCTCCCGCTCTCCTCGCTCCCTCCCCGCTCCCCCACCACCCCTCCTCCTCCTCCTCCCTCCTCCTCCTCTACATCCTCCTCGGCTCCTTCCTCCTCCTCCTCCTCCTCCTCCTCCGCCTCCTCCTCCCCCTCCTCCCCTCCTCCCCCCTCCTCCCCCTCCCTCCTCCTCCTCCTCCTCCTTCCTCCTCTCTCCTCCTCTCACTCCTCATCTCCCCCCCTCCTCCTCCTCCTCCTCTGCCTCCTTCTCCTCCCTCCTCCTCCTCCTCCTCCCTCCTCCTCCTCCTCCTCCTCCTCCCCTCCTCCTCCCCTCCCGCTCCCCTCCGCTCCCTCCCCGCTCCCTCCCGATCCCCCCCCCCGGCCCGACACCGCCCAAGAAACCCGCCCCCGACCCCCCAGCCAGGGCTCCGCCCGAGCCCGCTCCTCGGACCGCGCCCCGCTGCTGCGAAGAGAGAGTCTCCGGAGAACGACCAGATGCCTCCGAGACGACGACGACGACGACGACGACGACGACGACGACAACGACGACCACGACGACGACCACGACGACGAGCAAGACCACGATCACGTGTCTCACTGCACCGATCTTGCAGGCGTGCTGCGGCGGATTTCTGCGTGGATATCTGTAAATGCAAGACCCCGAAACGGCGAGTGACAAGCGAAAGAAACTTCGCGTGGACTTGTTTCACTCTTCGCTCCTGGCCAACATACAACCCGCACGAAACACGCCGCGAAATCCGAAACGACAGTCTCCAGGATACTCCGGGCTCGTCCTGTATTCCGCACGAAATCCGCTCTGCGATGCTGGCGCCATGACGTGTCAGGTTCGGCGGCGAACGAGGGGGGGAAGTGAGAAGTGGCGGGCCTTCTCGGAAGGCTCGGAAGTCCCTGGGGCTTCCGAGAAGCTTCCTGAGCCCTCCCCAGAGACAGAAAAACACTTCTCAGAAGGCGCGAGGGCCTCTCAGGAGTCCCGCCGCCTTCCGAGAAGGCCTCCTCCTTCTCATTCCCCCCCCTCGCTCACCGCCGACAGGGGGGGGGGTCGTCGGCGGCCGAGGCCGTGGCCCTTCTTGATCCACGTGGCCTCGTGCACGTGGCCTCCACGCCACCCTTTCTCTTCCCAAGGGGGGCGGGGGGGCGGCAGGGAAGGGGGGGAACGCTCGGGCGTTGGCTGATGGGGGGGCGATAGAGTCGGACTGGATTGGACAGGACGCGCGACGACGACGACGACGACGACGACGACGACGACGACCACGACCACGACCTCGTGCCAGGGGGGGGGGGTCTTCTGCGGCCGAGGCCGTGGCCCTTCTTGATCCACGTGGCCTCGTGCACGTGGCCTCCACGCCACCCTTCCCCTTCCCGGGGGGGGGGGGCAGCAGGGGGGGGGCTCGGGCGTTGGCTGAGGTGTTCTTGGGACATACACGCCGGTCGGAAAAAAGTAGGTAGAAACATCAAGTAGGAAGGCGGATATAGCAGATTGGGTCCAGGTCCTCCCAGGGAATAACAAAACACAGCAACAGCACGCCGATTGTTTAAGTAGGAAGGCGCTTGAAGTAGAGTGGGATCTGGGAATTCAAAAACACCTACTTTCAACGACCGGCGGCGTGTAACCCCGATGTGCTCAAACAAGACAGTCTCGACCAGACATGTTCTAAGAACATTTTGTGCAGACCACAAAAAGGTCCTTAGAACATTGTTTGGTGGGCCCATAGGCACGCAAAGGCGCTTCGCCACTGCTTGAGTTGGTTGATGGGGGGCGATACAGTCGGATTTGATTGGAGAGGACCCGCGCGAGGACACAAGACTCCTCCGAGGGCCACATTGCCACAGGAATGCAGGGTGCATGGGTCGCGAGACACAGGACTCTGGCAGGGTCGATCTACTACACAGGGCCGACTGTGAAGGTGAGGGGGCGGGGGGGAGAGAAACGTGCACCTTTCGTGCTCCTGTTGGGACCCAGGGGGCCCGCTTGAGGCCCCTTTTGGGCACAAAAGGTGCACCTTCCTCAGCCCCCCCCACCATCGCAACCCCATTATTCGACTAGGGGGCCACATGTGAACCCTACCCCTACCCCCCACGATTTCTCAGGGGGAGGATGGGGTTCACTTCGCTCGGGAGCTCCTGAGCGAAGTGAACCCCACCCTCCCCCTCAGAAATCGTGGGGGGTAGGGGTAGGGTTCACATGTGGCCCCCTATCGACGCACGACCCTGCGAGAGAGAAGGCCGACCAGCGAGCAGCCGAGGGGGCAGAGCCAGCTTAGGAGCACGGAGAGCGACACCACCTCCCGCGCGAGGCGCCGGGGAGGGTGCTCCCGGTCCTCCATCCTCCCTCCGGATTCCCTTTGCCTCATTCCCCTCCTCCTACATCCTTCCTTCCCTGTCCTCGTGAAGATACGGTCCCCCCCTCCCTATAATGTTCGACATCGCTGCTCCGGGGGAAAAAACAAAACAACAACAAACAAACCGAAAACAACGATTTCTAAAGCCATAGCATCATTTCTCTTCTGCCTCTCTCTCTGTCTCCCTCTCTCTCTCTCTCTCTTCTCTGTTCTCATCTCTGCTGTCATCTCCTGTATTATCCCTCCTCTACTCTTTCCCCTTTTTACCCCTCCCTCTTCTACACTTTCACCATACGAATACCACTGTCCCTGTTACCCTGAAGTTGTGCGGAAGATCTTCCGCCCCTCCGCGTGTGTCTTCAAACACAAGGTTCCAACATTTTTTTTTGTAGTGTTTTGCAGTCCGATTGTTCTCGGTGTTTCGAAGTGGTGTTCCCGCTGTAGCGCCGGCCTCATTTTCGGATCGGCGCTTTGCTCCCGTCGTTCGGAATGGCGCTCTCGCCACAACGCGCGCCACTTTTCTAGATCCGAGTCCTGACAGATTGTGATCCCCCTACCTCAGTTCCCCTCCTTCCCCATTCCCCAAGTCCTCCTGTTCCTCCCACTTCAATTCCTGTTTCTGCTGTTCGTCTCGCCCCAGCGCGGGCCACTGTTCCGAATCCGAATCTCCGTTCATAATTGTTTTGCGCCTGCATTCCCCTCCTCCGTCTTCCCCTGGTCCAGCATTTTCCTTCCGATCTTTCCGTTTCAGCTACTGCTGATGCTGTTCGTCCTCATCTTTCTTTTCCCGCCCATCCTCCTGTTCATCCGCCACCTCCTCCTCCTCGTCCTCCTCCTCTTCTTCCTCCTGTGCACGCGGTTCCACAGTTCCCGACTGCGTATACACGAAGTGGTTTTCTGGTGGGAAAACCACCCAGGTCGGGTCGGCTATGGCACGCGTCCATGAGAAAGGATGGGAGGGAGGGGTAGTATCGGGGGTGCGCAAACATGGATTCGCGATCCATGGATTTGGCGCGCGGTCGCCAAATCCATGAATCGGAGGTGGTGCCCTCCCCAAAATGCAGCCGGCGCCGCCTCGCTCGGCGGCCGAAAACCGGGATTCCCCATGGAAACGGGACCTGTCGCTAATCCGCACCCCTTTTTAAAAATCCATGTTTGCGATCGCTTGATAATATGTCAGATCAGGCGCGAACGCACCTGGCTTGCATTCCCCCCCTCTCTCTCCCTAGCGCGCCTCCTTTATTCCCCATCGCTTCCCGCACCCCATCCCCCTCCCCCGCCGCGGCTGCGGACGAAGACCGTGTAGTTGGTCCAGGCTGGGAGCAGCTTGGCCCAATCGCTGCTGTGCATGACGATGGGGGACCCCACCGCAAAGCTCCGCTCGTTAGGCCTGCCCACCGTCCCGGGCGGCGTGGCCAACGCCGCTCGGGGAGGCGATCGCGAGGCCACCGAAACAAAACAACTGAACGTGTCTCGTCGCATCTGCTGCGGGGCAGGTTCGAGCACAGTGCAGGATGAGCAGGATGAGAAGGATGAGGAGGAGGAGGAGGAGGAAGAGGAGGAGGAGGAGGAAGGAGGGGGAGGAAGGAGGGGGAAGGAGGGGGGACGAGGAGGTGGAGGAAGACTTCTTTGCCAAGATGATCGGACGCCATTCCGCACTGCGCACGCGGCACCCACCCTGCGCTCGGGCACGGGCGCATGGGGGCCGACGCATCACCCCCTTTGAGCCCATCCTCCCCCGACGTTGCGCCGAGCCCAGAATTGACAACGCACAGCAAAGACCTACGCTTTTGCCTCAAATGTCGATCCTTCCGCCATGTTACATCCTTTTGGTGCATTCTCTGGTGTTAACACTCTGCGTCGCAAGGTGTTAACTGCCTGATTGCTTCAATCACCGCCGAGACACTGAATGATACCCAGCCCTCGCAATACTTATGATCGAGATGCTGGGAGGCCGCTTACTATCACGCAAGGCATCATAACCGATCCTCCAGGGCATGCGGCAACGCGTACATTGAACTCGTCAACATATTCGCGCAAGGGCGCAGAGACTGGGCCCCGCAGAACACGGGCATTATGTACCTGAAAAGAACTCATCATCGAGGAGATACACCGCGCGCTGTTGTCCACTGCTTTTGTGGCGACGCATTTGCGTGCCTCACCTGCGCTGCGATGCAACTCGGACAATGCAAATCCACGTCCCCGCCCCTTTTCGACTGACTGACTTGCGTCCGCTGCGCCCAGAGCAGGCGCGAGAAGATGGTGGATTGTTACGTAGCGCGGCTCCAAAAATTACATTGAACTTATGGTTGCGAATATTGTTTAGCATTCATATTATTGCTGCGTTCTGCGCATTCCGACATTGCTCATGAATGTCGTCGTCAACGCGCCGTTTATTTTTATTTGCTGATATGGTTTGCCATGTCCCGTGTCTCTCTTCATCGATGTCGCGCGGCAAACGCATCGTCGAGGACTGCGCATGCACGCGCGCAAGATATCGCCTCGTATTTCCACGTGCTCGTTCTACCCCGAGCGCCGCCCAGAAGTTTGCTGCCCGGCGACAACTTCCCCCATCGCTGGTGGCCGGCATCTGTCTGTCATCATTTAACTCGTGCGCATCTGCCTTCGCTCATTGGAGCGCAAACATATTCGCGCCAAGTTCGCGCCGCACCAATCCCGCTCTCTTTGTGATACTTGTGACATTCGCCACATAAGTTAAAGTTGCCAACTTCTCCAACTATCCCTGCCGTGACCATTCGTTGCGAACAGACGCCAGACTAGCAATCAACCCGAGCCGGCTGGTTACAGAAAACGAACGCACAATAATGATTAGAAGAGCACGCGAGATGAATGGAATGCTGGCAGTGGACGACTGAGAAAGATAAGACACAGACAATGGAATCATGCACAAACGATAAGAACCGCATGATCAATGATGCGTGAATTACACAAGACGGAGAAACATTAAACAGTTGGAGACATCGCAGACCCGCTAAGAAATCCTAGAACTTCGCGCGCACATTTTAGGAGCGGGCCTGCGGAAACCGCCATCCCGAACTTCTCGCAGGCCATGGCGGGGTCGAGGTGCTCTGCGAGACACTTGTGGACCGAGTGGGCTACGTGCTTCATGGACAAGACCGCCCACTGCTCGTTGAATCGCAACTGCTGGAGCGCGAGGTCGTCCGCGCGCAGCGAGGGCCCTGGTCCCTCTCCGAGCGTTGCGGCTAATGATTCGATGCCGGGTGCCAGGAAAACCTCGGCTTCGTAGGTGGCTAGCGCGGATCCTGCTACGACCCCTCGCCACGGGAAAAACGGCTCAGCCGAGATGCCCATCGAGCAGGAGGCGTCGCCGCCACATGCACGTTGCGATCCCGAATTGCAGCGGGCGTGGCGGGGGCGAGCACCAGTGGCCGGCGCGGACTGTGAGGTCGCAGGATACGCGCCCATAGAGTTGCTCGATTTCCCAGAGCACTCGGAGGGATATCCCCCCAGCGCCCCCTGCAAGCCACGCCAAAAAACTCCGGCGCCAAACTGCGCCAGCCGGGGCCCGCTTGGGCGCCGAGGAGAACGGTCCGTCCACGCCGCGAATTTGCCCCCAATCCTCGGCCCAGCACTTCTGAAGTCCTCCAAAGACCCTCGCGCTCCCAGGGTAGTGGCCCTGGGGGCTACTCGCTACGGTTAAGGCATTGGCGACAAAAAACGATGAGACCGGCAATCTGGACTGGGGCGCTCCACGCGATGCTCATAAGCTGGAGGATCAGCGAGATGACGTATAGGGCCCCTTCATATAACATTCCCAGATGCTTCGGGCGCCATCCGCCAAGGGCGCGCGCGCTGGATCTGAAGCCCCTGGAGGCCGACCGCCCGGCATCCGCGTCGGGGCGTCACCCAAGGCGCCGGGCGGGCACGTTCCGTAAAAGTGCCTTGCCATGCGTCCTTCCAAATGTCCTTCCGGCGCCGGAGGCGCTGCTTGATCGAGGTGCTGCGGAGGACCTTCGCGACGTCTCCGTCAGCCAGGGCCCCATCAGGACCAGGGACAGGGCGCTTGAGCGGGGCCCCATTCAAGGATTTCGCGGGCAGTCTCGGCGGCGCCATTGGACTCGATCACCTCCAGATAATGCCCCGCCCGACCCACGGTGCCCAGCTGGCCGCTCGAAGGGTTGATGTTCTTGGAAAACCCCCCCATGACGATAGCGCCCTCGACGGGCGAGCGGGCCCCGTCTGGGTCGCCAAAGATGGCGAACGATCGCGAACATTGGGCGCCAAAGAAGTCACCCTTGCCTCCAACGCTTTCTGACTGGGCCCCCCCGCCATCTATCTCAGCTAGTTGCTCGGCCAGATCGAAGCTGCGCCGAGACGCCTGCCTCAGCGCCCCCCCCCCCCCCCCCTCGGCGACGAAGCGCTTGGATTTCAAGCGGCCGCCCCGCGACCCACCCAGAGGCTCTCGGAGGCCGCGGGAACGAGGGCGCGCGCGCAGCTGAGACCCACGACGCCGGCTTGGCTTCCCATTCGAAAGGAACTCCCGCGCCCTTCCCCGGCGGATTCCCCCCCGCGACGCCCCTTCAGCCCCCGCCTAGCCGCCTCGTTCCACTGGGCGAAGGCGGCGCCCACCAGCGATAACGCATCTTGGAGCTCGCTGCCTCTCAGCGCGCTGTGCTCGGCGTCCGGTCTTCTGATCTTACTGAACAAGGGATGCAGGGCTGTCTCTAGGTGCTCGCGGGGCGGCGGGGCCCGGCGCGGCCCCGATGGCTCCGCGGGTAACTTCTGGGACTTCCATGGGGCCTCCAGGCGCGCATCCCTTGCGGACTCCCCAAGATCCAGCCTCGCCGGTTTGCGCGGCTCAGGCGCGGCGCCAAGCGGACGGGGGGAACCCGCGAAGACGGTCCCCGGCGACGCGCCGAAGCCAGCCCCCAGGGTAAACGGGGAACCTCGGGCTCCAGCGGACTCCCCGAACTTGCTCAGCATGTCAATGTTCCTGGGAGACACGCCCTCGGAGTCGTGGAAATACCCGCGCGCCCCAAAGGGGCCCGAGAAAGCGTCGCTGCACCGCGCACTCACATAGGCGACCTGGAACAAGCCCTGCCCGCGGTGGCCACGCTCCCAGATGCCCCTCTGACCAAGACCTCGCAGCCCCCGGAGGCTCGGCCGCTGCCCAATCGGGAGGCAGCGGCCCCAGACACTGTTCACCCCTGGCGTTCCTGAACGCCCCCAAAATGCACCCCGTGGACGCGGTGATCCTGGGTGAGAACTATGTCCGACTGATGAGCAACCGACGGGGGCCACAGTTTTCTGGTCTTTCCCCAAAAGTTCACGTCGCAAGTCGAAATCGCTAAGGCATCGCGTTGTTCGCCTGACTGCGCACGCGCAACGTGGCACGCGCCCCCCCCCCCCCCCCCTTCGCAGGCAGGAGGTCGGGCAGCGCGCAGGCCGCCTGCAGCGAAAAGTCGGCGACGCCGTTGACGCGCGCCTCCGAGCTGCCCGCGAGGACCGGACCAACCGCGAAGGGTTTCTGAACGAACTGGCAACGGCGCATCGCGCAAGAAAATCTGCCCGAGACTCCGCGGCAGCGGCGGGGTCTTCCGCGCGCTCGACTGCCTCAGGCAAGGCGCCTTCTCGGAGGCGAGTCGTCTCATCCCCGACGGCAGAACTGGCGGCGAACAGCTCCGATTAAAATGTCAGGCTACAGCCGCTGCTGCCACGCTCAAGGCCCGTCGCGCACAAGCAGGGGGGGCGCGCGAGGCAGGGGCAGCGCCGGCCCGACACCTGATGTCCAGGGCGGAGCATTCCTGGGCCCCGATTGCCCACGAGCGAGGCCCCGTACGGACCAGCTCGCTTCCAGCGCCCCCATGGGCCCGCTCCTGGGGCCACATGGGCTGCCATAAACCCCGCGGGCGCCGCCCACGTCGAAGGTCCATTGCGAAAAAACTGCCGCGTCGAGTCTGGGCGAAAGGCTGCCTGGACAACTCATGATCGGCACAACTGGCGGCGGCGCAAAGCTCCTGCTTCGACTGCGGGTCGTGACAATTGCTGCCCCCCCCCCACCCAAGGGCCCCGGCGGCCCAGCCCAGGATTTGCGCGAGGCGAGGACAGCGCTGGCCCGACGACCGCAGTCGGGACGCGGCACCCCCAGGGCCCAGGCTGCCCATAAGCAGGGTCCCCATACAGGCCAGCCTGCTTCTAGCTCCTCCCTGGGCCCGCTCCCGGGGCCACTCTGAACGCCAGAATCCTGGTCGAAGTGGTCCATGTAGAAGATGTCGGCACGGTCGCTGGGACAAGACTACCCCCCGCAAAAAATCTGGGCCCGCGCAGGTTGCGAAATCGACGCCAGTGTCCCCGTCACCCGAGATCATGTAATTCGGCTCGCAGGCTGTGCCATTGAGGTCGGCGACGTCAATCTCCCCAGTCACATTCGCGCTCCCGCAGGCCGCGAAATTGCCCTGGGTGCCCAGTCACCGAAGGGCCCATCTAGATTTACAATGACGTGCCCGACGCACATGTTAAAGGTCCTCCTGTTCGTCGCCTGCCACCGCGCCCCAACCTTTGGAAGTGCGAACTGACTGGGCGAACAGGTCCATGTCCACAGGAGTGTTGGTAGCGTCGCGTACTTCCTCAGGGCTCGGCTGCACCGCAGCTGGGGATGAAGGCGCCGCGGGCTCGGTCGATGCAGTTGGTCCAGGTGCAGCAGGTGTGCCTTCTCCTTCGGCTCTGGCGTCGGTCCTGGGTCGCTTGGCTTCCGTTCTTGTAGCGGAAGCTTTCTGCTCATCATCCAGCGAGGCAACCTTCTCGCGCGCGTTGCCGAAAGCCTGGGTTACCGCCTCTCTGAAAATGTGCAACAATGCCTCCTTGCGAGACGCCAGCTGCTCCTCGTCTCCTGGCGAAAGCTCGATGCCCTCTGCCGAGAGACCAAATAGCCCATCATCATCGAGGGCCACGTCAACCCCGTCCACGATGGTGGAAAGGCTGACCTTGGGTTTGGTTTCCTTTGCGACGCCCACGCCCTTGGCAAGCGTGGCCACCGCCTCCGAATATTTCTGCTGGCAAGTTTTGCAGTTGGTGCGCGCCTCCACTGCCTCGGCTTTGGCGGCCTCGGTCTGTTCAAACATGTACTCTGCGTGCTTGACCGCGTTGTCCAAAACACTCTTCGCCTGGGCTATCGCATGCTGGTGGGCACCAACAGATGGCGCGGGCGGTGACTTGACTGCACGCCCAAGCTTGTCAATCTCCTTTTGGTATGTCGCCGCCTTGCTCTCGTCCCCGACGTCCGAAAGCGCCGCCACCAGCGACTTAAGCTCGTGCAGGCCGTTGATGGTGCAGCTGGTGGCGGGCTGCGGTGGCCCTTGCGCGAGCCAGCCCAACGCTGCCAGCTGCAGTCCTGGCTGAAGCGGGTGGGGCACGTTGCCCACCATGTCCTTGGCCTCCAGGGGGGCCGCGAGCGAGGTTGGTGTACTGTTGGTACCAGGCATGTTGCCTGGCCATGTTCCGTGGGTGCCGCGGGTCGCCTTGGTCCAGGCTCCAGACGCACGTCATCAGCGCAGCAAGGACCACCAGCAGCAGGGTCCGTCCGCATGCCATGGTAGATCTTGCATCTGGTCCGCAAAGATTGGCCCCGCTGGCAGCCGCAATGCTCGCAGCGCTAGCACGCTCCCCGCGGGGACCGCGGTTTGACATGGCCTTGCGTTTTGACCATCGACTGATGCGTGTAAGAAAGAAACCGCTCGCTGGAGCGGTGATGCGAAAACACCTCGTTTGGCCAAGACTACGGGGTTTCCGTTGATTGTGGGGATCGCGACTCCCCCCCACCAGAGAAGCCAAATCCTGTGCCAAAGCACTACGGGCTTGAGCCCAAATGGCTACGGCCTGCTCTTGCTGCCCATGCTCCGCTTTCTGTTCATCCTCCTTCCTCCTCCTCCATCCTGTTCTCGTCCTCGTCCTCGTCCTCGTTCTCCTTCGCCTACCCATCCTCCCTGCCCTCTCCTCCTCCTCCTCCTCCTCCGCCTCCTCCTCAAAACGATCATGCTCCTCCTAATCGTTCTCGTCATGTTCTGCGTATCCCCCTGTCCTTCCTGGTGCTCATCCTCTGGCACATCCTCCCCAAACGCCTCGTAACCATCGCTCTACGATGTCCAATTCGCCTCGACTTCGTCGTCCTTGCCAATACCACCACCGCCACAATCGTCACCCGTCCTCTAAATCATCACCAGAAGCAGCAATGATCAAAGCCGCAACATCACATCACCATAACCAGTATCAGCCCAACCATCATTACCACCATCATCATCATCATCATCATCATCATCATCATCATCGTCATCATCATCATCATCATCATCATCATCATCATCATCATCATCATCATCATCATCACCATCGTCATCATCATCATCATCAGCATCATCATCAGTACCATCAACACCATCATCATACTGAACAGCAACATCATCATCATCATCATCATCAGCATCATCATCATCATCATCATCAGCATCATCAACATCAGCATCCTCAGCATCAGCATCGTCATCGGCATCGACTTCGTTTTCGTCAGCAGCAGCATCACCATTCTCATCATCAGGCGTAGCATCATCACCATCGCCATAGCCAGCAGCATCAGCAGCAGCATCAGCATCATCCTCATCAGCACCAGCATCACCATCACATTCAACACCAGAATCATCATCAACAACATAATCATCACCATCGCGCCGTCAACATCACCATCATCATCATCATCATCAGCATCACCATCATCATCATCATCATCATCATCATCATCATCATCATCATCCTCATCATCCGCATCATCATCATCAGCATCATCATCATCATCATCATCAGCACAAGCATCATCATCAAGATCCTCATCATCACCACCAGCATCGGCATTATCATCATCCTCATCATCCCTAACATCAGAATGCTCCTCCTCCTGGTCAGCGTCAGCATCATGATCATCAGCATAAGCATCATCATCGCCATCATCATCACAATCATCAAGATCATCATCATCAGAATCGGCATCATGCTCATGATTATCATCATCCTCATCCTCATCATACTCATCATCCTCATCCTCATCATCATCATCATCATCAGCATCATCATCATCAGCATCAGCATCAGCATCAGCATCAGCATCATCATCATCATCAGCATCAGCATAATCATTGTCGTCATCATCATCACCACCACCACCATCATTATCATCAGCAGCATCATCGCCATCATCGCCATCGTCATCATCATCGGCATCGTCTTCGACGTTAGCAGCAGCAGCAGTATCATCAGCATCGCCATCACAATGGTCAGCAACATCAGCATCAACATCACCACCGGCATCACCATCAGCATCAGCATCATCACCATCAACACCAGTATCATCATCAGCAACATCATCACGGCGTCAACATCATCATCAACATCATCATCACAATAATCATTATCAGCATGCTCATCATCACTACCGTCATCGTCAGCATCATCATTCTCATTATCCTCGTCATCATCATCATCCGCATCTTCCGTCTGATCAGCATCATCATTGCCGTCATCATCATCACCACCACCACCACCATCATCATCATCATCCTCATCGTTATCCTCATCAGCATTATCATCACCAGCAACATCATCATCATCATCATCATCATCATCATCATCATCCTCATCATCATCATCAGCATCCTCCTCCTCCTCCTCCTCCTCCTCCTCCTCCTCATCATCATCATCATCATCATCATCAGCAGCAGCAGCAGCAGCAGCAGCAGCATCATCATCATCATCATCATCATCATCATCATCATCATCAGCATCACCATCATCATAATCAGTAGCATCCACCTCCCTCTGCCCTGGCCCCCGCCCCTCGTCTGCGCGTCGGCGAGGCTTCGGCAGTCTGGGCCGCACAGCTCCGGGACGGCGAAGTCGTGCCACCCGGGGTCGGTCGCCCCTGGCACGGGAGCCGCGGCAGGGGCGAGCAGGGGACTGGGGCATCGCGCGTGCCCACGGGCTGCCTCCGCCTGGCGCGGACCCCTCCTCCTGCTCCTCCTGCTCCTCTTCCTGCGGCTGATGCTCCTCCTCCCTCCTCCTCCTCCTCATCCTCTTCATCATCATCATCATCAGCAGCATCATCATCATCCTCACCACCACCACCATCATCATCATCATCATCACCACCACCACCACCACCATCATCATCATCAGCAGCAGCATCATCATCGTCAGCATCATCATCATCATCATCATCATCATCATCATCATCATCATCATCATCAGCATCATCATCATCATCCTCTTCCTCATCCTCATCCTCATCCTCATCCACCTTCTCCTCCTCTTCCTCCTCCTCCCCCAGCTTTGACGTCACCAGCGTCGCTGGCCTTGACGGTTCTGCTCCCCGCTGATGAAGTCGTGTGCTGGATGAGGCCCCGCCAGAATGGCGATTCGGATGTTTTGCTCTATGAGTGTCACTGAGTAAAATACTCAGTAGCTGCGCCAGAGTGCAAGGAGTCAATCGAACTGGCTCGCATAAGCAGAACCCTCCGAATCCTGCCCCTTGCTCCCTCAACCTCCCCCCCATCCCTTCCCCCCTCCTCCTGCCCCCATCATCCCTCCCCCCTCCTCCTCCTCCTCCTCCTCCTCCTCCTCCTCCTCCTCCTCCTCCTCTCTCCTCCTCCTCCTCCTCCTCCTCCTCCTCCTCCTCCTCCTCCTCCTCCTCCTCCTCCTCCTCCTCCTCCTCTTCCTCCATAAGATACATGGTTGGCAAGGCACGGCAGAATGACTGCTTCGCCTTCCGAAAACTGGCTGGGCACTGCATGGGACGGTGCACGAGCAGGGCACGGCAAGGCACGCGAGCCGCAACTTCTCCGCATTCCAAAAACATCGGGGTCCTTCTGACCTGGGCCGATCCAGACCCGGGTCTGTCAGGCCTTGTTGAAGCCTGCAAGATCCTGCAAAATCCTGCACCCAAACGCAAGTCCATGCCAAGGACCCTGCAGGATCCTGCACCGAAGCCCGGGTCAGTACAACCCTGGCCCTGCAGGATCCTGCAAGATCGGGCGCTCTGGCTGACCCCCGTTTGCATCGACCCCCGTCTCAGCGCTCCCCGACACCAGGCGCCCCTGCCGGGCTCGGCACGGCTCGCGGGCGCCACGCCGCTCACGCCCCAGACCGCAGGCCTGGCACGGGCGGAGCGGCACGGGACGGCGCACCGCGGACACGGCACGGCACGGCATGCGGGAGACACTGTTGCCGCCTCCTGCACCACTCGGGCACGGCGCGCCACGGTGGCCACCTCTGCGAACCCTACGGCCTGGGGCACAGCACGGCACGGCACGCGAACGCGGGCACGGCACGGCGATCGAGTGGCAACTTCGCCGCCCTTCGAAAAACTTCAGCCCAGCACGGCAAGGCGCGCGGGCACGGCGCGGCGCGGCACAGGACGACAACACGGCGCGACACGGCACGGCGCCCACTTCTCCGCACTCCGCAACCTTGGCACAGCACGGCACGGCACGGCACGCGACCACGGAGCCGCACAGCACGGCACGGCACGCGGGCACGGCACGGCACGCGGCAAAGCCTGGGGCGTCTAAAACCCAGAGCCTCTGTTCTCCCCAAAGACGCGGAGCGCCTTCCAACATTGGTTGGAGAAAAAAACGTCTACATCGATCCGCCACCGTGCCTCTGGGGACGGAGTTGGCGTGTCCTCGGGTCCTTGTGCAGAATCCTCTGAGCCCCAACCCTCACTCCTGAGGACTCTCTTAAGGGCCCAGAGCCAACATTCTCGATCCTCTCGGCTTCTCGGGGATCCACCGCGTCTTGCCCCATGCTCTTTCCAGGCCCAAGAGGGCCTTCAGACAGGCCAGAAGGGCCCCAAGAGGCCCCAGAAACGGCCCATGAGGCCAAGCGTCGCCTAAAGATCGCGCCAAGACCCAAGACGTCCAGGCTTGCCTCAAGATGGCCCAAAAGGCTCCCAACACGCTCCAACAGGACCCCAAGAGGCCTCCCGAAGGACCCCGCGAGGGTTTTGGCGTTTAAAGGGTTTTGGCGGTCTCCCCTATTCTGTCTTCCGACACTCCAAGACCACAGCCAGACGGCCCCAAAGGCTTCCAAGAGGGCCCCAAGACTGCCTAAGAGCGCCCCAAGACGGCCCAAGAGGCGCCCTAAGACGGCACGACACCAAAGGGACCCAAGAGAAGGAATACGAACCGAGAATCCCAGCTTTCCGCCCCAAGAGGCCTGCAGGAGGCCCCAAGAGGCGAGAAGTTTCCAAACTGCCTCAAAGAGGCTCCCGAGAGGCCGACCACGAGACCCCAACGAACCGCCAACGGGCGATAATAAATCAAACCCCCCTTCACCCCCTCCATTATTTGATCCCCGTTTAATAGGATTTAGCCAAACATGTTGATCCACGGGGGAAGTTGCGAACCGAAGTTACTAGAATCCCTTGTTGACTAGCAACACCATCAAACATGCTGAGCATGGCCATGGTGGTCTCACCATATCAACTTCCGCAATCACGAGCGTGTGGCAGGGCTGCCTGCCCGCGCGAAAAAAGAACGCCCAACAAAACGTGCGGCGCCGGCCTGTGCCAGAACAAAACGACTTACAAAACGGCAGCCCAGTGGCCAAAACGCATTGGCGCGACGGCCCATTCAGAGAATGCGGAAACGTGTTTTGACACGTGTTCACAACATACACCAACAGCACAACGGAAGCACATGGGAAACAATAGGAAACCAATGTTTCGGTAGCGCCCTAGATTAAACACGTGCTCTCTACCATTGCTTTCCGCCTTTGCTTACATCGTTCGCGCTGCAGGTCTCCATTCACGTCTTCTCCATTCTAGGTCACCCAGCTACCACCTTCGCTATCGTGGCCGGATCCGTTCACGTGCGTTCCCCACCCCAAGATATCGCCATCGTTCGCTTGGCCGGTCTCCATGGAATAGTTGTTCTTCGAGTCAGCGTCAAATATTTGCCTCTTCTATCCCATCCCACCACTTGATGACAATGTGTACTCCAGACTTCGTAATAAAGGGAGGGGGGTCTCATTTCGGGGGGGGGTCTCTTCCAGGCTATCTTGGAGGGCCTGGGGGGTCTGGGGACGATGTTTTGAAGGGTCCTCCCACGGGGGAGGTCTGAAATGGCTTGTCTTGGAGGGTCCAGACCCCCTCTCTTTTATTACGAAATCTGGAGTAACGATTCTGGCGTCTTGCAGCAGCTTTGCTGCAAGTCGTCCAACCGCCTGCGCGGGCCACGATGATCCTCAAGGCAGCGACCATGAACGGCAGAGGTAACGAGCATGCACTCCCGTACTTCACTGTTCCAGCTGTGTCGCCACGTCGTTTAACCCTCTTGGGATTTGATGGGCTCCTGGCTAAGCTATTTTGTGTGACAGCGTGGCCCTGGCAACGGCCGAATGCCATATATATATATATATATATATATATATGTATCTTCTGGTGTTCCGTTCAGCCATCTCCATCGTGCAACCCTTGCGTGTTTCCCGGGGCTTCGCCCCTTCCAGTTTGCATGTCAACAAATACAAAAAATCCTCGACCAACTTTGCGTAGTCGTGTTCGTCGGGCTCGTGTTCTCCTTCCGCGTCGTATCAGCGTTTATTGGTTGATGGCGTTCTGGTGTATTCGCACAAGGTTCACCTCCAGTGAAAATCTGCATCGGATTGTCCTCTTCGTCATCGGGCAACGTCCAATCCATGGTGTCAGACTTGTTGTTCACATGTTGCAACCCTTTCCGGTAGCCGCGCTTGATTTGGACGAGCGCGTTCAGCAACTTCTCGTCTCGCTTCATTTCCTGACCATGGTTCGGTCACCCGGTAGCACCTGAAACTATTGAACGGCCTTGTGCTCGCTGACTGGTTTGTTTCCGCCTCTTCCAGCCCTCGTGCTTCCAACGGACTGTATAGGTTCGGCGACGTTGGTAGCATTATCCGAGGCGTCCGCTTGACATTGGCGTCCTAACCGGACATGTCTCCTCAAATGGTTGACATGTTACTCGCGATAAATGTTCCGGCTGGTGACCAATATCAAAAAAGGGCATTCCACTTACAGCATACATGTAATATCGTACAAAGGCCTGCCCATCGTCTTCAACCGTCCTGGTGCCCAGTGTAGCGCTGCGCTCGAAGATCAACTATCGTCCAGTCGTGATTGGCATTCACGCATTAACGCGGTGATCACATGCATGAAATCACGATCCACTCGAATAGCCGGCGATGCACAGTTCCGCAAGCCCGTTCGTGCCCAGATTGTACCAGGCATCTCGGACACCAAATAACATTACATTGTAGCCTGGCTCGTGGGGTCGCTGCGGCGGCCGTCACTGCCATCTCTGCACTGGAACCCGCAGGGTCCGCTACCATAAAAATCAGGCAGACGTCTTCTTCTGAGGAGACCAATATCACTTGCGCCAAATGTCAGCGGCAATGCTTCGTGACTGGTGGCTCGGCTGTGGTGGGACAGCGGCTACGCTAACACTTGACAGCACAGCGCGTGGCAATGCTCCTCACCCAGTCGCACGGCCATGTTCTAACACCTCCTCCTCCTCCGCCTCCTTCTCCTCTTCCTTTTCCTCCTCCTCCTCCTTCTCCTCCTCATCGTGCACCTCTGAGGGGGTAGTTGCCCTTGCTACAGACTTCGGCCTGCGTTGGCAGTGATGTACGAGTAGTGCTGCGCCACCGGGTGCCCCTC